GCGAGTGTGTCCAGTCGAATCCGGACCGATGTGAACTTACATAACGAGAGCAGAGCGGAATGCGAAATGACATTCTGAAAGTTCGAAGAGGTGAATGTTGCGTGGGCGAGAATGGCTTGGCCTGTGTCCTCTGAGAATGGATAAATATGAATGAAATTGTTTGGACATTGACCTTTGGAAATGGTCACGTTTTGTTCCACTGGCGACATCCAGGCTTTCTATCACTGAGACGAGAGCAATGCATTTACGTGAACTTAACTCAAATAGTTCTCCTGTATATCATTGGCAATGCTAGGAAGTGAAGACCCGCCTGCAATTAAATGCCGGTCATCACTGTTCAACAGATCATGGGCGCCGAAGACCGATGCAGTCGCCAGCCGGGCGGCCTAAAACGCAATCATCGTGTCATTGGACGACCAATTCTTCATTTTCATCTAATGCAACCCAGAATCAAGCAACCCATCGGGGTGCGAGGGTTGGTGCGAAAGAAGGCAGCGAAGTCATCCGCCCAAGCCCGCAACTACCTTCCTGTTCATGGCTTCGTTTTGCTTTGTGCTTTACATGCCTCCTTCAGGAATCACATGACGTCGGAGGGCAGCGGATACGGGCCAGATTTGACAAGCAGATTGAATGTGGTTACAGGTGTTTGTGCAGCGGTCTGCACAGGTTATATCCGGCATGTCACTGGCCTGATTCCTCCAGGCTCGTGTATAATCTGAGCTAATCTCACATCTACCCCGAATTATGAGTTTTTCCTGCTACTTTGTCATGAGTGAAACGTATGTCAGGGTGCCTGCGAATGCCCTTTTGTTCAGTGTACTACATATACAAAACAAAGGAGATGATTCACTGCCATTTAAAAGCATTCCAGTGTCACTTCTGATGTTTATTTCATAATTGGTCTGAGGTACCGCCAGTTTAGATTAACAACTGAACAACTAAAAAAAATGTGTGTTCATTCATTCGTTTTGTCATTCTATACACCCAGCCTGCTGTGATCCACAAATTGATCATCCAAAATGATCCACTGAGATGATCAAAATGAGGACATAATTGATACCTAGTGAAATCTTTCTTGGCGTGTCTTGGCAACAAACTGCTCCTAAGTGAATGTTGATCTGGGATTTACATTACATCGCACATTCATTATACTGAAGTGTTTGTACTCTCCAGTCTCCAGACTGGCAGACTATTTTTTATAGCTAAATATGTATTATACTGGAAACAAACGTGATCGTCTGAGCCGGAATAAGCAGAGGCGGCATATCACTCGTCAAATCACCGTCGTGCGCACACCAACAACCGTTCCGGCAACAGTTCTGGGAGCGCGGGGACTAGGTGAAGTCATTGGTATTGTCTTCCAACGCGCATTTCCAGCAGTTACGTGAGAACCAACTGTCAGTAGAGTCAGAATGAGCAGTGCTGGTAAACCCGTGATGAGAAAGACAGCTTTTGTGATGAGGCATTGCTGTAATCGTAGGTCAGCACTTTTATCAATTCATCTTTAAACGCCACTTCGATTCGACGTCCTTCTTATACAAGTTACATATATGGTAGAGCACTTCATGGGCCGGATAAATCCGTTATCCACGGATAAATCCGCGGACCGGATAGGATTGGATTCTAAATTTGTTAAAAAAGAACGGGTATGGGCGGGCCGGATTTGGGAATTGAAGGTTGAACCCGGATCAAAACGGATCAAAATTTTAACATTCAACATTGAAGTTAAAAATTGATACCTAGTTTACCAATGTGGTGATTTTCATGTGGTTTTAGGTTTATAAGCATGGTTTTTGGAACCATGATGGTCTGTGAGATGTATGGCTGTCTGGTCCCTTAGATTGAATTTATTAGTCCAGTTTTGGGTGAAACCAGTTATTGGTGAAACGGATTATTACGGATATTTTTTGGAAGTTTGGCTGCAATACGGGCCATGGGTGGGCCGGATTCTGATATTCAAAGAAAGGCGGATGATGGGCGGATCTGGATATGACTTGCCGGATATGGGCCGGGCCGGTTCCTAAAAAGCCTATCCGTGAAGTGCTCTAAATGGGTGTGTTAAAGTAGTAAACCTTTTAGCTTTACCTACTTATTAAATGAAAGAAGGTAAACTTTTAGTGCTTCAATTTGTGCGCTGGTGCTGCATAATGCCTGTCACTCGCCTCCGTTGTTGGTTTTACTCTCGGCCTTACCTTGGAACGCGCCTGACACTGCCAGGTAAGCTCTGTCAGGCTGACAGGCTTACTCTCCGCTCAGCTGTTTTCCACCACGACCGGTCGGTGCGGTCTCCGACATCGTCGGCTGTGCAGCTCTAGTCCTAATGTGCCATGGAGACACACCATCCACCAGTCGAATCATTCTGGGTTCCCTCTATGCTTATCTCCTGTTACGCTTTCTATTCTCTTGGAGATCTTATAACAGAGCGGATATGTCCATGGGCCTGCAGGTTTTCACACCTCAGAACCGCCGTCACCACCGCCTCTGCCTCCACCACCGCCACCCTCTCCGCCACCCCGCGGGGTCATTGACCTGCGTGGCGGTGCAGTCAGCAGTGGTGGCGGCACGGGTGGTGTGTGCGCTGCCAGTGTGCCTGCCGACTGATGCTGACCGAATTTGATGTTAGCCAGAAGTGGAAACCGTCCCGCTGGGTGTCGCTTTATTTGTTGACGGCGTCTCTTGATAAGTGTAGGGATCCAGGGTGCAGATATTGAGTGATGCTCGTTAGCAATATTGATGTCCACAGCTCAATGTCTACTTTTTCATGTTTATGTTGTTATCTTATAAAGAAGACACAGAGGCTGGACAAGTTAACATCACCAGCGAGTGATGTTATGTGGTTGGGTTTTGTCACAGAACTAATCTCAAAACCGAGGGTTGATGCGCGGGAGCAAATGAGCACGATCTAAAAAAAAAAACTACTGAAAGTACACATTCCTGTTGGCTATAGCTAGATGACAACATTCTTTCATCTGCGTTACCTCAGCCTGCAACGTACGAGTATCTTTCGAAGCTCGCAAACGACTAGCTAGTTCAGATTGTCGGCTTTCATTATCTAACGATTGCCGTTTTTGAACGAGCTTTTCCTGCTTTTTTCAACTTGCTTGTTTCTATTTTAAGAACGGGACGGAATCTCTTTTTTTGTGCGTATCGCTATAAGGAGAGGCATTGTCATATCCTTGTATCTCAGCGTAGTTGACGTTCATTATTTGGACATGTGAGTGCGTCTTCTAACGTAAATATCACGTGCGATATCATTCCATCCATCATATTTGACAAGTTGCGTCCAGATGTTGCGTCGTGGCCATTTGTCTGACTGGCATTTCCAGATGCGATCTTATGCTAGGCGAACCGTGAATTTTTCCCTGAGGCAATCATTCTTGTGGTGAGATACGTAGCCTTTGCGGCGGTATTGAATCGAGTGGTGGCATTGTTCGTCGTTCGTCTAAATCTAGTGAATCGTGAACTGTCAATGTCGCCAATCGTGCTGTGCCGGTGGCTGGTTGCCCCGGAAACGCGAGATTCGGTTGGCTTTGCTCGCTGTGCGCCAGTCACAGTGCAGTGATTTTTCGGGCTGCCGAGATCTGATGATGTCACAGACGATGTCAGGTGTACTAGGTGATGTCACCGGTAGAACTTAACCTATGTATCTGTCTAAAAAATGATATGGCATCCTCTCATATAAAACTGGCATCGAAACTGACTGAATGAGTATTGGTTGTGCACTGAGTTTTTTATTACTATGCAAGTTTGACAAGTTTCCGATGGCGTCGGGCTTATTCATGACGTGAATCACTAGACAGACTGTTGATATGAAGGATTCCACCCCATTCATTGTCGGTTTGAATGACATGGCGTGGTGACCTTTTCGGAAAGCTAGACAGTAATTGGTAGCTCCTGCACCGCTTTATGGCGCATTACGTCTCATTCGCCATGTAAAGTGAATAATGCTCATGTGAAGCATTCCACTCCACGGTACGAAGTGTTATCTGGATCGCCTTCTAGCCGCACTGTCCATGTGTTATGTATGTGATCTCGGGTGGCAGCACCCATCCAATCCCATGTAAATTCATTCTTAAATCGAGCACCGCTGGGAGGCCGCAGATATCGCCCCGGTGTCTGCCAGTCGGCGGAGCAAAATGTGCCATTGCGTGGTTCTATCTCCCTCGAGTATTTTGCGGTCACTCGAATTATTCCTCCCTTAGAAACAAGGTGGCACATATCGTGCGGTGTTTAAAGTTGTAGAACTGATACTTTAGGATATAATCAAAGAGAGTGGAAATTGGATCATGCTTGCAGTAGTTACGTACTCCTTCACCGTTTCACGCTTTATTGAAAACCCATTTGTTGCAGGTCGTATAGTTAATTTGATCACTGCCTAGTTTGTTTTGGTGCTTTTTGTTGTCTGTAATATTTTTTTTTCTCCAGCCTATGATAGTATTTTATTCTCTAAAAGCTGATGTTTAATGATTTGCCAAATTGTTTTGAGCGCATCAAACAAATGTGTTTGGCGCCCAATCAAATCAATCAATCAACAAACAAATCAAGCAACTGACAAAGCAATCTGCTCACCTGTCTATGCACACGTACACCCACTTAGAACCTTTTAACCCTTTTCCTGGTATGATAATCCTGCGGGGTATACACCGAATGCTGACGCATGTCAGCATCTCTTAGTCGTCATGGTAACATTCCTATTGAACGTCTCGATACGGCTAACATACTGTGGGCATTGTGGTTTGCTCGCCAAAGTTTAGTCGGCCGGCAGATAGAGTTACGACGCCACCGAGACGGGATCCATTCATGCTGCTCCTGTGAGCTGTGAATGTGACAGTAACTGTGGTTTTGGTGACAGTGATGATGTGGTGAGGCTGGTAAGGGTGCTGGCGGATCAAACGAACGTGTCCGTGGTAGAGTTGGAGGATTTGAGATCCTCATTCCTCATACAACTGTAAAGATAGCGGTGGTCATGTTTGCATTAACTGTTGTAATCTCTTCTGATTGACAGAAGGCTGTTTGTAAATCGGTCCTCAGCATATTTCCAGATGTCTCGTATAATCCACCTTTTTGCTGACTGATTCATATAGCTTTCAGTGGACGTTGGATCTTCTGCGCTACTCACGCAGTTCATACGGACTTGGTATGCGAATGTTTCTGTACCGCCGTCAACCCTGAGCCCTCCCGCCTCCGGGGTGGCGCCGCACCTTCCATGGGGTGCACCATCTCCACGTCAGAGCTGCGGGTACCGGACCTGCGCGTCTGTCTGCCGGACAAGGACCTCACCGAACCTGAGTCGCGCACAGAGGTCAGATTGCTCTTCCTGGGCAGCGCTGGCACCGGCAAGAGCACTCTGATGAAACAGATCCGGATGATCCACGGTAGCGGGTACTCACAAGAGGAGCGGCTGCTCTTCAGGCAGGACATCTATGATAACACCATCGAAGGCATGCGCGTCCTCCTGCAGGGCATGCGCAAGCTGCGTATGGATCTGACCGACCAGGACCTGGACAAGGACATGGCGGCGTTTCTGGCACTGTCCCCGAAAGGCGCCGAGCTGACGCCGGCTCTGGGTCGGCTGGCACACCGTCTGTGGCGGCGCCACGCGGTGCAGGAGGCGTACCGGCGTTGTCACGAGATCCGTCTCTCGGACGCGGCCGTGTACTTCTTGCAGCACCTGCCGCGGCTGGCGGGGACAGAGTACGTGCCCAGCGAGCAGGACATCCTGCACTGCCGCGTCGAGACGCGCACCATCATTGACATCTCGGTGGAGATCCGCGGTGTCACGTTCCGACTGATTGACGTGGGCGGCCAGCGCTCGGAGCGCCGCAAGTGGATCCACTGTTTCCAGGGCGTCACGGCCGTGCTGTTCTGCGTCTCCCTGGCGGCCTTCGACACGCGGGACACCAGCTCAGAGCAGCGCGGCCTCAACCAGATGACCGAGTCGCTCAACATCTTCGACGGCCTCTGGAACAGCCACTGGCTCGAGGGAAGCACGTTCTTTCTGTTCCTCAACAAGAGTGACGTGTTCAAAGAAAAGCTGCTGGTCAGTAAGCTTAGCGACGCGTTTCCCTCCTACAAAGGTGGCAACGACTACGAGTCGGCCACGGCCTTCGTGCAGAAGATGTTTCTCGACGTGGCGTCGCGCACCAACAAAGCCATCTTTGTCCATTGCACTTGCGCGACAAACAAGGAGAACGTCCAGCTGGTCTTTCACGTTGTGGCCGAACTCATCCTTCGTGATAACATGAAGAGCGCTGGACTCTTCTGAGCACGATGCCTTTTTTGTTTTTATTGTTTGTCAATTGGCGTTTGACAGCGGAGAGCCAGTTGTTTGTGGTTTTGTATACTAGTACATTTTGAAGCGTTATGTGTGACCAAATATCAATAGTTGCCACTTGATGCCATGTTGTGCATGGACGTGCGAGACAGCCCCATCTTCGGACGTAGCGTGTTCGATTCAAAATGGCTGCTTATAAAGTAGCTGTTTCGCTGAAGGAAGAGAAGTTTTACGTGTGTTTAATATAAACGCTTTAAAGCGCGTCAAAATTTAGATCATAGACCTCTTATGTGCTGTGGTGGTCTATGTTTGGGCATTCGCGCACTCTGGCTGTAGTCTATTGCATGATTTCATGGCACATGTGTCGGTGTTATTTAGTCTTACCTGGCCTGTTCTGTGTTCAACGTCGCTGGAGAGAGAACTTTAATTTTCTACCGCATTTCAATAAAAGGAGTCGATGGTTACTCGATCGTATGGTTTGGTAATGATTTTCGCACTTTAGTATCTATGGTGGACGAACTCTTCAGCAGTTAGTCATTATCTAAAAACAAGGTATATTGGTGAAGGTATTATAATTTATAAGTGATGTTTTTATAGGTTTGTGCTTTTTAGACTTCTTTTATACTACTTAGACTACTTGGTTATTGGGGCTGAATCAGATCCATGACTTAATGCTATCCCATGAAGTTCTTAGACTGCTGCTGAAGATAGAATTCGGAAGGATGTGCGCCGGATACCTACTGGTACAGCGTGACTGATTTACGGAAACTTGCACTGCGCACAATTGACTCACATGACAAACATCATCACTATCATCATCACTCTGATGCCGCCCACGCCCTCGCCTCGCCCCCGCTTGTTCTCCGCCTCCGCCCCCGCCTACGCATCCGCCTGTTCTACGCCTCCGCCTCCGCCCCAGCCTCCGCCTTCCCGCCTCCGCCATGGGCTCACGCTATCGCCGAGGCGGGACGGCGCGCCGCGGCGCCGCGCCGTCTCGTATAGATCCTTCACGGGCCGCTCGCCCACGCGGAAGCAAAGGTTTGTACGCCTGGCAGAGCTGTTTCAGCTTGTATCGGGCTGCGCTGAGGATGGGTCACGGGCGATCGTGTCATCTGCGCTCAGAGGTCGGGTCAAGGTGGAGGTCGTTAGGCTCCAGACGGGTGGGTTTCTGGCTGAGCGAACGACCGCGGCCGATGGGATGATGCCAGGGATTGACGACGACGAGGGTTAGTTAGAGAAGAGACTAATGCGAGGTGGCCGATGGATTTGCTACAGGGAAAACATCCACTCCTACTGGTCGTGAATTACAAATTCTGCAAGTGACTAGCGAGTCGATCACTGATTCAGTGATCGGACCATGACGTTTTAGCAGATTGTTCAGTGCCGCAAAGGCTCAGTACGTATTTGCATAAAAGGTATGCCATGTTTTCTGATAACACATTACCTTGATGACCTAGGGTACGGCCGATATCCTTAGAAAGAGCGGAATGAAGCAAGGATATGCTCGTTTTGATTTATTTCATTTATTATTTGTCCACTTTTTTTGGTGTGCATTTCCACTATGCATTTACCATTAGACTCCTGCGACCTGTTTTTTTTTTTTTTTTGACGTGCAGTATCATATAGTATCGTAGAGGGGGTCGACATATCAATGTGACGAACAACAGTGCCATTTCTCCTTATCGCCGGTTCTCGTGAGGGGTCACACCAAACTAAGTTCGTGTGCCCATTTGCCGGTCAGCTGGCCCCGCCTCCAAAAGGCCAGAAAATGGTCAGCAGTGGTTGCACTGGTCAGTCAAAGCTCTAAGCGTTCCAAGTGGTCTAAAATGTGGGTGCAGCCTTTCTGGCCCACTTGAAATGTCAGCGATCCATCGAAATACCAATTCCCTGACTGATTCGTTTCCAAAGGCTGACTTGGTCTCGTGCACAATATTCCATATGGTCGCTTCGAAATTGTTGCCAAATGGAATGTTGAGCGTCTTGAACCTCAATTATCTTCACCTCCAAATGGTAGTATGAACTTCATATCAGGCAGGCTGTATGAAATAGTTTCAACTGATGATGAGTCAGACTGGGTGTTTAATGATGGTTTCCATAGAATATCATTACTCAAGTACCACGCCTGCATGTTGCAAATAATGCATGCGCCGTGAAAGCCGGACTTGCGTGAGCATTTCGCACCCTCTAATGATTATCTTCCACTTCACTGTTGTTTTCCGTTCACTTGTTCTATGAAGAGCATCTATGAAGAGCATCTACGGAGTCCTGCATTTATTAATTGTGAATACGAATAAGATTATTCTAATGTGTACAAGATTCATTTTTTTTTTTACCAAGCAACGTGTAAAATATTTGTATCTACATGTATCCCTGAAATATTTGTATACACCGGTTAAACCGATCACATGCAACGTGAATTTCTAGTTTTGGGTAGGTAGGTACTAGGTACAACATAAGTGAAAAATTGTACCATTTTACATTTTTTAAATTTCTCTTGGCTGCGTCTTCTTACCATACGCAATTCTTTTGTGCGATGTTCGCTATTTTACGATGGATGGTACAAATCAGCAAAAAATCGCAGTCGCTTCTCCAAGTTTGTTTCACCTTGTCAGCTACCACAGCGAGATGAGAAATCATCACATCTTCGGCCCTCTGTTGTCCTTACGAATCGACGGGGGGCGCTGAGGGGGCCCGACCGCTGCGGCGGGGGCCAGGGGCGGCCGGTCGGCGGCGGCGGCGGCTTCGGCCGGTCGGCCTTGCGCCGGCCAGGCACCATGCTCGTACAAGGTCAGCCGACCTGGCGGTGTGAAAGTCAGTCAGTGTGGCTCGGACGGCTACCGACGACGGTTGTGTGCGACCGAGCTCCGACGACCGAGAGCGCTCAGAGAGTGAGACCACCGAGCACGAGACCGTGCAGTGCTCAGTGTGCGCCGGTGGATTGACCGGGGAGGAGGAGTGACAGGATTGTTGGCACGTGTGTGGCAAGGACGGAGCCGATTGTGATTGGAATACGGGACATTCCTCAAGTAAGTAGAAATGACGTGCTTTATGTAGTAAAAAATATGCTGTTTCCAGTGGAATTAGGGGAGTCTCGATGGAGTTCGGTTCTGCGTCTATCATACGGATCGCGATTTTGTAAAATTCTTGTAACATTTTCATCAAACTTAGTTATTGCAAGTTTGCAATAGAATGTTCAAAAGTGGCACCCCTTTGAACCAAAGATGGCACCTACACTTGTTTCAAAAGATAATCTACAGGTATGTTAAAGTGAATATCTACCACTCAAACGCTTTTTTATTTATCTCATATAGTACGGTCAATGGGGAGCGACGGTAGGTTGGCGCAGCATCTTTTTGCAGAAATTTTGATTGCTTCCGGAAATGTGCATGGGTGCAAAAGAAGAGCTGAACAGTTTCAGCTGGAATTTATCCTTTGCCTGCCTACTGATGGAAATGCAATGGATGGCAATGCGACCTACGACGGATTGCTACGACCTTCGTACGCACTTCTTTTGACCATAAACCTCGCATTGGTATCGTACCCCATTCAACCGTCAATACATGCCTGCTAATAATCGTGATAAGGGAATCATGACATCAATGTCTGCTGCCACTCATCGTCATTGTCCTGGTCTCTGTCGTTTGTCTGCGACAGGCGCGACCTCTGACTGTTGTACGGGTGTGTGTTTTTGTTAACCTTGTCAGCGCCAAACTGTGTCAAGGTCGGGGCCCGGTCCAGTTTTTGACGCTCCGGTACGTGGGCCAGAGCTGCCGGCTGTCTCTGTTCCCCGGGCCGCTCCTTGAGTGAGATACATCCCCGCCTGGCCGGGACCGGCTCGTCACGTACCGACGTGACGCTGACCGGCCGCGGCGCGCAGTTTCCATGCTGGTGGGACGCTGGTTTCAAGGTCCGCCGGCCTTGCCCTCTGGCGCCCACCCAGCGCGTGGGGCGAGCGGTGAGGGTCGCGGCGCCCGGAGAGTCAGCACTGCGGCGAACTTGACGCGCCGCGTCGCGCCACGCCACTGATATGCGACTGATGTAGGGTTGTTGGGGACGTGCTCTGATCTGGTATGACGGCTGAGCCACGCCGAGGGCAGCTGCGGCTGTGCAAAGGTGACTTCCGGGTTTGGGAATGAGCCTTGCCCTTGGCCTCACTGACGGCTTTTTGATAGCCCGTTGATGGCAAATGTTGTGGTGACGCGTTTCTGGACGTTTTCTTGATTAGCTATCGCGAGACAGTCCGGAGATCAGTCCGGAGCTGAGCCCTGTGTTTCACAAACATGTGCAACATCTCCCGTGCCGTAGTGTTGCGGGGGAGATATAAATTTCGTGTACCGCAGTTAATTCTAATCATCGCTAAGCTGCAGCAACAATTTTTCCTGTGAGGTGTCAGCCTAAAGATTTATGGTTTCGAGAAACGAGATAAATGTGATTCATGGCGTTCCCTAGCTCATTTGGCATTAGTATACGGGTGTTAAAGTTTTTAATCATGTGACTGGCTTTTGTTTGTTTGGTGACATTCATGACATCCATTGAGACTTCTTGTGCGGTATGGGTGCATCACTAATGATGCACACATTTATAAGGCGGAAAACCAAGAACTCCAGCACACCTGGCGAAGCGTGCTTTGTACCGTCTGCATTTGCACTGCAGACGGGGCACGGACCTGCTGTGGTCGAGGGGCGCCACGCGGCATCTGCACTCACAACGCACGGCACAGGCAGGTGTCCAGAGGCCGGCAGTTCACAGGCCGTCTTGACACCAAGGAACCGACGCCCCCATGTCTGAGGTCATTCGACATGGATATTGGGTAGCAACTGTTCGAACTAAGATTTAGAGATGTCAAGGTGTGGGAAATCGATGACGGTTCCGTGTGCCAAGGGTGATTGAAATTATGGGGAGGATAGATTTTAAAATTCTCCGTCTCGTTTTTCCTTCATATCTTGTCCCGTTCGGCACACTACCTTGCCTCATTCGATCTCTCGTCCCGTCTCCGGAGCCGCCTCACCCCAACTCATGCCATCCCACCCTACATCCAGCTCCATCCCTATCTCCTTCCCGTCCCATCACGACCCGCCCCGTCCCGTCTCCCACTCCCAAGTTATCCACGGGAGAAGCCACAGGTGGTTAACTCGGGGGGACAGACCTACCGGTGCTGTATCCCCCTGGGAACCGTTCTGAGAGCCACAGGTGATTCGGACGCTGTCCGATAACCAGCACCGGCGTGAGGCGCCTGCATAATTCCTCACAGCAGGGCCATCGCCGTCCGGCGGGCGAAGGTAGCAGCTCGACAGCGAGAGTGGGCTGGTAGGGACGCGGCGCGAGGCGGACCGTGCAGGAGCTTTGATCCGGCGCCTGTGCCGTGATTGTGGCAGACGCTCGCCCACGTAAACTGGACCGACATGAATGGAGTCTCGCCACTCGCTCGGTGGAGGCCTAGAGGACGGACATGCAGCTGACAGTGCCGGAACAGCACGTTCATAAGCCCGGGATGTGCAATGTGCATGCATTATGCAGTCTGGAGACTCTACATGCCATTGCATATGCTGTTCAATGCCCATTGAACATGTGGTTATTCCAGCTGCGAAAGTCAAGTAAATTCCTTTCCTCACGAAATTAGTGCGGCTCGTACTTTGTTTAGGAAGTAAATGTTTGACACTCATAGATAACTCAACTAACTTGCTTTTACCGGTGAGTGACTTGATGCCGCAGTATTGTTTACGTTGAAATATGTATTTGGTTGGAAATGGTCAAGGACCACGCTTCAGTTGCTGGGTGATTTCTTTCGAAGCTTTTCGGAAATACGTCGTTACATTCAGTCTATATGATGTGCTTCGAAGCCTTACATGGTTTTTAGCACGAGCACTTAAGTTTTGATGCCAGTTTTCCTCAAGGACAATAACATATATGGATAAGAAGTAACTATTGAAACTGGAAAGCTCATACGGCGGCGCAATGAGCTTTGACAATGTTTGTGTGTACCAAGTTTATCGTTATGCTTGACGGTTTTTCTAAACTGTCGGATGAAAGGCCTTTTCTGCCAGTTTTTACCAGTCATATTGAAAGGTTAATGTCTACAATGTCTAGACTGAGGATTAAGGTGTCTTTTCCAGCAGACGAATACCTATTTTGTCTTTATACTTACGGACTGAGTTTTGTCGGTCTGATGAGATCATAGCAATTCAATTTTTACTTCTAGCGACTTTTTGGTTACACACAAACTGCTGGGATTCGTTTCAAAATAGGGGTTCAGCCTGGGATCCTAAAGACCAAAGGATCCAAAAGGGATCTAAAACCAAAGTTGATCTTCCCCAACTCCTGCATTCTGCATCTATGTATCTAACTGTTGTTTCCGTTTCAGAATGGCCGCCCCTGGCTGCTGGATACAGTAGGAGGTAAGTTCACGTATCGGCGCCATCATCAGCCACTACACAGAGCTAGCTGCTTTGGTGCTGAGTGACCTGTGTTACTGAGAGGAATCGATGAGGAGAGAGCAAAGGTGAATTGCTGACATGCGTATGTGCCGGGAAAACGTTCTTTTCCCGTGCCGATGGTGGACACAATCTTGAGATATATCACATTTTTTCAACATGAGTTGCACTTTGCTTAACGACTGCTGTAGATTAGATATGAAAAACAATATGCTCATTGCTATCAGAATCGATAGTTTTAAATAACTGTATATGAAACTACTTTTATCATAATTTTCATACGCCCTTAGGCTGTTGTAAAAACTTGCGCCGTTTTTGCACGCTCATTTGTTGCGCATAATTGCAAGTGTTCGACGAGTTTATGATACTTTAATTTCATTCTTCGCGTATGAATATCGAAATTGCAAGTTCCCCGAACCATGCATTGAGCGAGTGACCTTCGAGGCGATATTGCGCACCCGTACCCCCGGCCGGCCGGCCCACATTGGCTACGGTCTGTTGAATCGGTGATCCGGGCCTCCCGTGCCTCGGAGAGTCGTTCCGGGTTCCCAAGCCGGGCCCCGACACTAGAGGCGGCCTGATCGGGGGTGAGGGGGTCACCCCCCCGTGCAGACCGCTCCCTGGACACCTCACTCGCTGTCGTCAGTTCACTCTGCGACCCTCGGTCCCCTCCCACGACCCGTGCCTGCCGCGCGCTGAGACGCCGCCGCGCGGACCGGCCGGCCGGCAGACCGGCAACCTTGAGGAGCGCGCTCAGTTCCGTGTTGCAGCGCCGCTGAGCGGCCGTGCCGGGATGTGGGACAGGGCCACCAGGGGGCGGAGGGCACCCTGGAGACACCCCCTCCCTCCCACCTCCCTGTCTCTCCCGGCCGTAGCTCGACTCAGCCGCCGCGCCGTCCAGGAGCGGAGGTAGCGCCAGCGGCGCGCGGCGCCTCGCTGCAGAGCCTCCACCGCACCGAGCGAGGTTCATCTCAGCCGGGCTAAAATATGCTGACGGCCAGGATTTAGACCGGTGGCTGCCGGCCGGGATTTAGGCTAGTGGCTGCAGGTGGGGTTTTAGCTTTAGGCCAGTGCTAACGGTTCCCCGGGCTTAGTGACGCGCTATCGCTCTTGTGTCACGGAAGTGAAGTGGACCGATTTGATTCTGCGCTCCCCGAATGAACGATAATGACGCCATTCATTAAAGTGCGCGATTGAAAACGATGCCTAATTTGCCGTCGGTTTTACCCATCGGTCGGAAAAAATGGGCATTGTTCCTGGCACCCGGATGCAAGGAACGTTTCTCGCAGTTCTGACCGAAGTGGCATCAGCGACGGTGCATGCGGGAAGGGAAACCCAAGCACCCTTCTCTCTCTCGCTTACAGTTGTGTATCTGAAGTATCGTCACGCGTCGCTAAACACCGTCTGTTCTCTGTAAGGAAGTTTGTGAGTTCTTTACCACGGCCACTTGCGGAGAACATTTTTTGGTCGGGCCGGTGGCACGTCAGGGCTGCTGGTGACAAAGGAAGGTAGGACGTTTTTCGGCCGGGTCGAGAGACTGCTGTGCTGTCGCGGCACAGTGACAATGGAGAGAAGCTTCTGTGTGGTGACAGTGCTCAGGATTTGTCGCTGCTGACGTCTAACCGTCACTGCCACCAGTACTGCCAGCAGTATGTCCTCCTCTCCACCATGCCGCCGCCACCACGGCAGCGGCTGACGTTACCGCCAGCTCCGCTGCCGTCACCGCCAACATAACCGCCACCGCCACCGCCACCGCCGCGGCTGACACCTCCGTAGCAAACAGCGACGTCATAGCGCCGTTTCACTTTCGCTGGGATAGGAAAGCTATAATGCGCCGCAGCGCTGCATGGCCGGCCGGCTCGGCCGGTAGGTCGACTCGGCGACTCCGGAGGCTCCGTTTGGGTGCAGAGGTCACGACCGGTCAGGTCGGGGACCGGTGCACTCCGGAGAAGCTGACGTGTCACCGGTGATGAGGCTCTTATGCAACATCCGCCTGTGGTGCGCTGCTGTGATACATTCGAGGCAGGCACGGCGCTCAAGACTACGGCCACTTAGCTGGCGCGCCGGGCCACGTCCGACGAGATTTACATGACCCGCGATGGCTGGTGTAGATTGGTGACTTGTCACGAAGGATTATAGGGTGATGTAAGTTATTTAAGTTGCGTGGCTGCTATCATGGGGACACCCAGGACCAGATGCTTTGGGACGCTAGAGGCAGGTGTTAATGGGACAGTCCGTGCTTGGTATAGTCGATAGGATACAGTCGACCACAGGGTTACAGTCAAGCATGCCGTGCTGCCTCGTGGGCCATCGCGTCGAGCGTTCTGGTCTTATGTGGCATGTTTCTTTTTGTATGTATCATTACTCTTTTTGCGTTAATTGAAATACCTTTGTTTTGTTTTCCATGAAATAATGAATTTCTATAGTCAGCCACAGACATATCACATAATGGAGCTTCTTCTCGCATGCAATGTTGTCTTATGTCCATAAACGAACGAGTATGTGCCATAACACACGCGAAACAATGCACAACGCTTTGGTCCGTGGTCAGGCATCGCTTCCTGGTGCACGGTGAGTCACACTCCCATGTGTTGCTGGTGCCTGGCGCTGGCAACATTCGAAGGAACGCCGAGCGATAACCTTGAGTGATGGCTGCGACTTGGTTTGTGGGACTCAGGTCGGTCGTGATGCGTGTCTGGGACATGGCATTCTAGGATCTTTCACGATAGCATGTAATAAGAAATGGACTGAACAGCTGGTTTGGGTAGAAAATTGTGTTGAACATTTGGTAAGCGCTGAACAAAGTTAATTGTAGTTAGTGGATGATTAATGAATGTTTTGTACATTATTGTTAAGTTATTTTGCTAAGCCATTACTTGCCAGAAATATTTTATTGAAAGGGTTTCTGATGGCATATAGATGCGTTGAAAATCATGCGGATGGGGATTGTGACGATGCTCAAATTCCCGTTACTCGCATAAGGTGATCGTTACCATTCGCAATCGTGCCGAGCTTTGTCACTAGGTCGTTTTTTTTTTTTAATCCCAGACATGAACAAAATGCCTTTTAGACGATGCAGAGAGAACAGGTGTTTTTGACATAAGCCAGGCTCATGATTTCAATAACCCTTCGTCGCTCTAGAAATTGTCACTGCAACTGCATTTCTTTCAGTACGCGTTACGCTTTATGCCAGCGCCAAGTAATGGTTAACGGTTTGCGTGCGTGAAAACTATTTTGTAACATTCCGCTTCCCTACAAACTCGATGGCTAAATGGATGCATTCCAAAATCCGCATGTAACCCATTTTTCACTTAGATCCAGTTTGCTGTCCAGCCGCTTCGTGATTTGTCTCCATGAACAATAATTCCGGTTTACGATAAAGCGTTGTCACCCTTGCCTCTGTCTATTGTAGCTGGCGTGACTACGATTGAGTGCCCGTAGTGTGACGGTGTCACTACTTCCGTCACACTGTCACATGTGGAACGCAGCACACGTCAGTGACTTTCCATGACGTCATGACCACGTGACCTCGCCTGTCAGACACCATAGCAACCACACATCACTTCAGCTTAAAATTGTGCGCAGCGCAATGTGCGTTTTGAGTACCGTTCCTTCCTGCGTTAAACGTCACTCCGCTGCAGCTAGTCACGCATAAGCTATACGGAAGGCTGCATAGCCAACTGCGTAGTGGAAACGCACTGTTTGCAAATCTCTCTTACCGTAGCACAACTCCATCGTGACGCTTTGTGACGGTCGTGACGGCCCGTGACATGCCGTGACGCCTCGCATCGTGGCGTGAGACGCGTATCGTGACGCCGCAGGGGGGCAGGGCCGACTGGCACCGGTAGCGATGCTAGTGAAAACGCGGCGCCGCCGTCGAACCGCTTTCGAGTCGAGCTCGCTCCGTTCCGGCGCCTCCACGGCCGGGCCGAACTCTCGGTTTCACCGAGTGTCTCCGCGGCGTAACAGCCGACCGGCCGGGCCCGGCGCCGTGACAGGGGACCGGACCGGACCGGACCAGGACCGGACCGGACCGGACCGGACCAGGACCAGGACCGGGAGTGGGCCATGGAACGTATGCTGTAGGCGGACCAGGGGTGGACAACTGGACACTGGACAGGTCTAGAGTCGTAGGCGGGCCAAGGATGGTCCAGGGCTAGAGTCGTAGGGCTAGGATTGAGCTAGGACAAGGGACGAATGTTTGTTAGGGCTCGAGTGGTAACATTTTGGGACCTGGAAATCGTAGCTGGGCTGACAACAGGTCGGGTCGAGCTGTGACCGGGCTAGAGTCGAGTTTAGCCGACTCAAGTGCTGCTTGGAGCTGGGCCAGCTTTTCATGATCGAAAGTTGTGAAGCGAGCTCTTGTGGCTGACTTCTGCCATGGTTCTCGGTACACGTGACCTCTGACAGGAGCTACCCTGCCCGAATGACAGTCAATCAATTCAAAGCGATGCAGGAGGCTATCACAGGGAGTGCATTGCGGAAGCGGCGTCGAGGCTGCGGCCGGGACTGCCGTTTCACCTAGCCGCGAGGTTGTGAGGCCCGGCGCGGGGCAGCTGGCCTCGTGACGGCCGAGCCGTGGTGACCTCGCCCACTGGGCCGGGTCTGACCAGCACTGACGCCAGCAGAGGCTGGCCCCCTGCCAGCCGCGGACGCCCCCGCCCGAGCCTAGCCGGCCGGCTGCTCGAGCGCTGGTCCGTTATCCAGCACACATACACGGCTCGCCCGGCGGTGGCATCCGCGATCTGCTCAGACGTCGCTCGGCCTATCGGAACTGCTTCCGCTATCTGTGGGCGGGAGCGGTGGAGGGTCGTGGCACGGCGGGCAGCCACCGAGCTCCTCAGGCCTACACGGCGCCTCTGACTGGGCTCTGCGCTTTGTGCAGTCGCGACATGCAGAATCTGTAGCTCATGTGTGCAGTGGACGGTGCTGAGTTTTGCTATCATCACCGCCGGGAACGTTTC